GGGCGGGGGCGGTGGGAGGGGGCGGTGGTCCGCTCTGTGGCCATGCCTGTGTCCACGCGGTGCTGTGGCCCCGCGAACCTGCGCTCTGAGCCCGGGCGCGGCCGGGTACCCGTGCCCTCCCGGGGGCCCGGCGGAGGGCAGTGACCCGCAATCTCTGCGCGTCCTGGGTCCCCCGGAGAAACCGGTGAGTCCGACTCCCCACCCACGTGGCCTGGGGGCGCCGGGAGACTGGAGAGCTGTCATCCTTGGAGGGAGGGGCTTGAAGGCGGAGGTGGGGGGAGGGGTCCTGCCCTCTGCGCTGCCTTCTGCGGTGGGAGGACTGGTTCTCTCCGGGGTGCCTTAGCCGGTTGGCCCCCCAGCTGGGGAATACAAAAGGCGAGGCCTGGAACCCATCCTTTGGCTGGGAGGGCGAAGTCCTGTAGGGGGCAGTGGCCAGGTAGGACCTGCCCCCCAATGCACACCTTCCGCCAGCGGAGTCCTCTCCAAGATCCGCGAAGGTGACTGTGGGCTGAGCGGGGCCGCTGCCTTGGGGCTCGGGACTTGGCCCACAAGGGTGCTCTGGCTCACGTATTGGGTGAGCCACCCTTTCTGGGATGGAGTTTGCTAGGGGAGGGTGAACAGCCTTTGTCAGAGAGAGGAGTGGCTACCGGCCGTGACTAGTTCCAGGCCATGCTCTCAGCATGGAGTAGGCATCCTGCTGAAGCACCTACTGCACAGCCTCACCTGAGCCCTGTCTGCCTCCCACCCACCTATCCCGGCACCACCCTCCCGGGAGGCCACTCCTCAAAGGGTCAAGGCTGGATGGAACACTATCTAAGCAGGAAGAGGGAGCCAGTAGGGAGGGGCTTGTGCAAGGTCCTCTTCCCTTCTGGGCGGGCACCTGAGGGAGGGAGTCACACTAGAAGGGCTGATTGAGTCAGCCTCCCTGGTGGCATTGCTCCTGTCAGCAGAGCACTTTCAGGCAAAGTAGCAAGCCCTAGGGGCTTCTTGAGAAGCTCCCTGAGGAGGGGCCCCAAGGGAGCATCTGGGACTGGTTCCAAGAGACCTCTCTTGCTTAACTGCTCAGGCCCAGCCTCGCAGGAGCTTCAGCTATCCAGGTTATGCGTCCAGTGGTGTTGGGGTGGGTTTTGCTCCCTGCCTGGTTTCCAGGGTAAGTGTCCAGAGAACTGTTTGCTTCATCAGGGCTTCTGGCTGGATTCCCTAGATTGGTCTTGGAGATGCTGAGATGTTGCATGATCTCAGGTGGCAGGGGAACTGTGGTGAAGGGGGCATCCACTAGCCCTGGCCAGCTGACCCTGCCCCCACTTTACTCAGGTACCACTCAGCCAGGCTTGACTCAGTCACCTGAGGCCCACAAGAGATCAGTGGGTAGTGGCCCCTTGGGACATTGGGTATGCTGCTGTAGACCTTGTTTGGGTCTTTGAGCCAGAGGTGCGAGGCCACAGAGCAGGAACATGTGACAGACCAAGAGGTTCAACTTGGGAGAGACTTCCAGGGGCAGCAGAGAACTGGTCTGTTCTTGCAAATCCAGGGCCCATGAATGAATAGGCAGTTAGCCTGGAGGAACTCCCAGCCCTAGTCCCATAGACAGCTCTTTGGCCCAATATCACAGGTGAATCACTTTAGGCCAGAGCCCACCTGGCTTCACAGAAGCACATTTTCCCGAGCAGATTCTCAAAAGACCTATTTACATGGCAGAGTCCTCTGGATGGATCCGTGTATAAGCACAGCTACACATGGTCTGAATGCTAAGTGGGAATAATCATGATGTGTGAAGCAGCAGCTGAGTGCACAGCGCCTACTCTGCGCCAGGGTAACCAGATTACATGGATTATCTTATTTAACCCTCCACAACCCAAGGAATCTATACTATCACTGTCCCCGTTTTATAGATGAGAAAACAGATTTATAAAACCAAACCAGGTTAATCCAGGTCCCTTTCCAGAGACATTGTTCCTGAACACTTGACTACTAGCAAGGACAAGTCTTCCCTACAGGCAGGATCTCCAGAGGCTACATTGTAGCTGGGTGTCCTCTCACCTTCTCCCCTCCAAAGTTACTTATCTGGCAAACATTAATTAAACTCCTGAGTGTGGAGCTGACATTCTGAAATCTGTGGCAGGTCCCAGGGGGACCTTCAATGTAGAAGAATAAAGCAGGGCAAGGGGGTAAGAATGAAGGATATTGCAGGAAAGCCTCTCCGATAAGGTCACACATGAGCAGCAAGCTGAAGGAAGTGAGAGTCATGCAGGCATTAGCCCAGGCAGTGGAACAGGTGAGGTCGGGGTAAGGGGAAAAGCAGAAGATGTGGAAGTGAAGGGGTGTATAATTTTACACTCTACTTAAGGAAAGCCATGAGGTCAGTGTGGCTGGGCCCATAAGAAAACGAGTGGGGGAAAGGGGCAGGAGAGGAGAGCAAAGAAGTAATGGTCTGGAGGATGGATAGAGTGCACAGCACTGTAAGGAAACCGGCTTTCTCACTGAGCGAGGTGGAACCCTCACTGAGTCGTGAGCAAAGGAATTACATGACCTGCCTTCTGTTTCACAAGGATCGCTTTGAGCGCTGTGAGAAGGACAGACCGGAGGGGCAAGGGCAGAAGTGAGGAGACTGGCTGGAAGATGGTTGCAACAGAGATAGCAGTGGCTTGGACCATTGTATTAGTGGCGGAGGTGATGAGAAGTAGTCAGATTCTTGATTTGGACATTTCTCACTTAGCATCAGTAATCCATTCCACAAAAGTTGGACATTGTATCTGGAATCAATAATTTAGTATCTGTTTCCCATTATTTTATTTATTTTTTAAATGTTTTTATTGATTTTTTTAGAGAGAGAGAGAAACAGTAATCGGTTGCCTCCTGCATACACCCCTACTGGGGACCGGGGATCGAACCCACAGCCTGGGTATGTGCCCTGAGCAGGAATTGAAACAGCAACCTTGCGATGCACGGAATGATACTCAACCAACTGGGCCGCACTGGCCCAGGCAGTTTTCCATTATTTTAAGTGGGGAAAAAAGTGTAACACTTCCCTCCTCATCCCCAGATCCGCAATTTTCTTAAATGGCAGTAAAACACAGGGGAATATATGCCTGATATATGCCCAATATATTAGAATGTTAGGATATAAAATGCTTAAAATGTTTCCTCCTGATCACCTGGCAACATCTGTTGCTTTGATCCAGTTTCATGACCTCTTTCAGTACCTGCAACAGACATGATGCAAGTAAGCTCCTTTTGTTGGCACTCAGTGATCTTCCATCAGTTCTGTTTGGAATGTAATTTGAGGCCTTAAGTGTACATACTTTGTTTAAAATGCAGATAGAATTTTGATGCTGTAAATCTACTTTTTTCTATATAAACAGAAGCTGAATCAATACCTATTTGTTGTATTAGTCATCTATTGCTGCGTAACAAATTATCCCAAAACTCAGCAGCTTAAAACAACAATAAATATGTATCCTCTAATACAATTCCTGTGGGTCAGGAATTTGGGAGCAGCTTAGCTGAATGGTTCAGACTCAGGGTCTCATGAGGCTGTAGTCATCAGAAGGCGTGACTGGGATGAGATGATTTGCTTCCAAGATTGCTTACTCACATGACTGGCACATTGGTACGGGCTGTTTGCAGGTCTCAGTTTCTTGCGGTGAGTTTCTCTGTAGGGCTGCTTGTGTCCTCACAACATGGCTGATGGCACCACCTAGAGAGAGTGATCTAAGAGAACAAGGCAGAAGCCACAATGTCTTTTATGACCTAGCCTCAGAAGTCATGTGTCATTTTCACATTAGCCTACTGGTTATATGGATCAGCCCAGCTCAGTGTGACGGGGGGTACACAAAGGCATGGATACTAGGAGTTGAGGCTCATTGGGGACCAAATAAAGGCTGGCTACCAGGGTTAGGCATTAGAAACCATTCTGTGGGCAAATATTAACTAGAGAGACATTTGGCTGGGTGTGCCTGTATCTTGGAGTACAGCCAATAGGATTTGCTGGTGGTTTGGTATATGAGGTATGGGGAAAAGAGAGGCAGAAGGGATGACGCCAGGATTTTTCACTGAACAACTGAAAAGCTGACATTGTCTTTCACCGAGATAGAGAAAACTCTGGGCAGAACACCTTCTTAAGGGGATTACCAGGAATTCAGTTTTGGACATAGGACTTTGAGATCCTGATCCTGTAAGACATCCAAGTAAATGTGCGTGCTTCTAAAAGTCAAAAAAGAGATTGGGGCCGGTAATAGAAATTGTCGAAAGTTGTTTGTAATCAGTAAGGCAAGCCCTGGTGCCAGATTCAAAAGTTGCAAAAGTGTACTCTGAGAAAAGCCAGGCTCCAGCCTGAAGACTAGCCTGTTTCCTCTGCCTCACTTCTTTTTTGCAAGTGCCTAGATATCCAAAAAGAACTATTGCTCAACTCAGTTTTGAATGGAAAAATGTTCCTGGTAGGATGTGCAGTGAAAGATATCAGGACAGAGAACTGTTTCAATTCCCAGCTCCAGTGCCTCCTTCCTGCAGTGACATTGAACCAGATGCTCAAACTCTCCCAGTCTAGTTCCTTCATCTATAGAGCTACCTGGTAGGAGCACCTGCCTCAGAGAGCAGTGATCAGGAGTGGATAACTTAATCCACATCAACTTCTTAGCAGGCTACCTTAGCATTCAATAAGTATTAGCTGCTATCAGTTTGTAAAAATAATTTACATTTTTATATACATTTTTTAAAAAGACTAGAAGGAAATACACTAAAATGTGAATAGTGAAAGATCCTGCATGGTGGAAATATGACATATTTTCTTTACACTTCTTTGTACTTTTCCAAGTTTTCTACAATGAATAGATACCATGAATTCTTCCTTTTATTATCAGGAAAAGAACAACATACTTCATTTTTAAAAAATATGTTTTTATTGATTTAAGAGAGAGAGAACGAGCCCACAGCCCGGGCATGTGCCCTGACCAGGAATTGAACTGTGATCTCTTGGATCGTAGGTCGATGCTCAACCACTGAGCCATGCCGGCCGGGCCATACTTCAGTGTTTAGAGGGGAATACTTGGAACCTGTTCCCCAGAGGTTTGAGTTAGCTGGGTCCTGGTGAGGGACACTTAACCACTGTTAATTATGCCAGTGTTTCTTGCCAACAGCACCTTCCCCCTTCCTCTGGATGATGCCTTTGTTTGCCCCACAGGAGAGCCCAAGGGATGGCTGCTGAAATGCAGAGGAAGAGCAGCAGCGAAGGCCCTGATGGCACATTGGCTCCTTCTGATGGGCAGAGTGTGGAGAGAGCCGAGAGCCCCACACCGGGACTGGCCCAGGGGATGGAGCCAGGTATGGGCAGGGCGTGCGCTGCTGACTGCTAGAGCAGACTCCAGATTCTTGGGATTCCCAACCCTCTTTCCCTCCCACTCACTCATGTATGTGTTCCGCTGTTCACTGGGTATTTGTCAGATACTGGGGGTACTGCAGGGAACCGAGCTCAGTCTGCTCCCCTCTTTCCTCTGCACTTTGCGTTGGGCCACTCGCTGCCAGCCTGGGCTCTCCTCCTATTCCCTGTGTCTATAGTGTACCCGCGTGGCTCCTCCCTGCTCAGCTCTCAGCGTAAATATCACCTCCTCACAAATTAGGCCTGCTCTGACCATGATCTGTACAGAACACTAGTTATTTTGTAGTTTTATTTTTTATGTCTGTATTGACCATCTCTCTTGTCCACAGATTGTGAGCTCTTTGAGCACAGGGTAGTTGTGTCCCCCCCAATGCTGAACTCATAATAGAGACCTGAAATATACCTGTTGAGCTGTTCTGTAAAAAAAAAAAAAATCAGTAGAGGAAGACTGACATGGCCCCTTGGGGAGTCACAGGGTAATGGGCCATTGCAGTGGAGTGGATTAGGAGCTACGGCCTGAGCAGTCAGGGAATCTTCTCCCAGGGAGAGATTCAGTGGGCACAGGAGGAATTCCAGGTGCAGGCGAGGTACTGGGCACACAGCAGTGAACATCCAGATTCCTGCTCTTGGGAGGGACCCCATCACAGGGAGAAGGACAGTAACTGATAAGTGTTGCAAGAGAAATTCAGGAGGGAGATATAAAGCGCCTGGGGTTGGAGGTCAGGTAAGGAGGCAACTAACATCTTTGCTGGGAGCTGACAAAGAGCAAGACCTGCGGGGAGGTGGGAGTGCCTTCCGGGCAGAGGGAACAGCAGGTGCAGAAGCCTGAGGTAGGTGGGGGGTGTTGAGGGTGTCCAAAGAGCAGACGGACAAAGGCCAGTGGGATTGGGATGGACAAGGGCTGCGAGATAAGTGTGAGAGAGGCAGGCAGATAGATACCAGCTGCCCCCATAGCCATGAGGGGCTTGGGTCTTACTCCCAGGGAGACAGGAGGAGCCTGGCGGCCTGTAAATTGCAGGCAGACAGTAGCCGGAGGAAGAGTGATGTGCCTCATAGAGACAGGCAGTCAAGCTGGAGTCGAGGAGATACACCTTTCTGGTGAGGTGGTCTGCCAGCGGCTACTACTCTAAGCACCAGCGCTTTTGGCTGACAGGTGCTGGGCAGGAGGGTGCCATGTTCGTCCATGCCCGTTCCTACGAGGACCTGACTGAATCAGAGGATGGGGCAGCTCCGGGGGAGAGTCCCACGGAGGGTGCTGGGGGTCCACCACCACTGCCTGCAGACATGCGCCAGATCAGCCAGGACTTCAGTGAGCTGAGCACCCAGCTGACAGGTGTGGCACGAGACCTCCAGGAAGAGATGCTGCCAGGAAGCTCTGAGGACTGGGTGGAGCCCCCAGGGGCATCTGGGAGACCAGCCACAGAGCCCCCCAGGGAGGGCACGGGCGAGGGGGAGGAGGAGGAGGCCGCTGAGGCCTGGCGACTACACCAGAAGCATATCTTTGTGCTGAGCGAGGCGGGGAAGCCTGTGTACTCCCGCTACGGGTCGGAGGAGGCGCTTTCCAGCACCATGGGTGTCATGGTGGCCCTGGTGTCCTTCCTGGAGGCTGACAAGAATGCCATTCGTTCCATCCACGCAGGTGAGCCGCCTGACACGGGATTGGAAGGGATCCCCAGGGTTAATTCACAGCAGGCTTTGGACTCCCAGGGCCTAGAGGGATGGGATGTGCTGTGTGACCAAGGGCAGCCCCTCCACTCACTGGCCCCATGTCTTCACCTGAACAGGGAATAGCAACACTGACTGCCTCATAGGGCTGTTGTGAGGGCCAAAGGGGGCTCTGAAATGGGTTTTGTCCTTGGAGAGGTGAGAAGCCTGGGGAGGTGACCGAAAAGTCCCAGTTCCTGAGCCCCACCCAGCTCTTCTTGCCATTTAGGACAAGAATATGTATTTTTCTGAAGGGCTCCCCGCATTTCAGCCAGTGCCAGTCTGTGAAGCAAGTTGCAATGACAGGCCCAATCCCTCAGGGAAAGGGGGCTGTGAGCTGCTGTTGTTCTCATCATCCCGAAAGCCCCTACTGTGTGCAGAGCTTTGAGGGAGGGTGGAGAGGATGTGGAAGACGACCAGCTGCCAGGAGGCAGGGCTCCCAGAGAGCTGGGTAAGGCCAATCCTGGAGGGCTTCCTGGAGAGGGACTGAAGCTGGTATCCCCCCCACCCCCACCCCCCCTCAGACGGCTACAAGGTAGTATTCGTGCGCCGGAGCCCACTGGTGCTGGTGGCAGTGGCCCGCACGCGGCAGTCGGCGCAGGAACTGACGCAGGAGCTGCTCTACATCTACTACCAGATCCTGAGCCTCCTCACAGGCGCGCAGCTGAGCCACATCTTCCAGCAGAAGCAGAACTACGACCTGCGGCGCCTGCTCTCGGGCTCGGAGCGCATCACCG